CATCCCTTGCCTTATATTCTATTCCTGCAGCTCCTCTAAGTGGAATATGTATCATTTCTGCTGAAACCAGAAGATTCAGAGAAACTCTCAAGACAAGATCATTTTCCGTCCTGCCAGGGGGAAGACCATGAACATAATATGTTCCGGAATACAAACTCCCAAAACATCTCTCAAGAAATTGTTCTCTGAAGTTATAATTATGTGAACATTACTGAGGAAAAAAAATGTTCTTTCATTTTCATAAAATGTTCTCAAGATTTCTGAGAAATCTGTGTTCAAGAAAGACTCAAGGAAATCAGTTAATTAATGGGAAAGCTATTAATTGATAAATAAGGAACTGGGAACGGACCTAGTATGTAAGAGCCTGTGAAAGCATCTGTGACTTCGATATGTACTGAATCAGAGGAGAAAGAGTGTCTCATAGAGAGACAGGAGAGCTTAGAATTGTACATTCTAAGTAAAGCACTTTGGAGTTTTATCTTTTAGAGTTCCTGTGGTTGTATATGGTCATGACTGGATTGTGCTGTGGTCTCAATATTATTTTTCTCACTATGAGGCTCTGGCAGAAGGCCTTGTGTTTTAGCTTAACTGTTTCTGTTGTGCCTGTGAGAACAGGAGTCTGACAGAAAGCACAATGTGGAGTACGTATCAGGACCCACCTATTAAGTTCTTCTAGCTATGTCTCCCTTTGCCCAAGTTTCATTTGCAAATGGAAACCATCAGATATTTGCTGTGGTGGAGTAAATACAACCCAGAAACTTAAAAGGGTAGTGGCCTAGTTCTGGCCACTGATTCACCATATCTCTTTCAGCTTCAAAGTCTCCCAAAGGAAGTTAGAACTGGAAAGGAGCCAGGCTTCTCAGCTTTTAAAATGGGATTCATGTTGCCACCTGAAAGGATTTCATATAGTAGCAGTTTTCTGACATTTTTCTTAGGAGAACAATTAGCATCGTAATTGCAGTTTTTCAAAGCACGTTCTGTATCGTTCTGATGGCTGTCCCTGATTCCCAGCAAGCCCCACCCCTCACTCAGCCGAGAGCCCTGGTCTGGACCAGACATGATTATTCCAGTTACCCTCTTCTGTATTTTTGCTCCCATCATTGCCTCCCATCTGTCCTTACCTCCATGTACCCATGGGAGTTTCCCTTTCTTGCACACTGAATCCATCCTTACTTAAATCCCATCACCTCAAGGAGCTCACCAACAATGCCTTATCTAGTTTGAACTTCTAAAGGCGAATTCTGTGTATCTCTTCTCTGCTGCCTTTATCAAATTAAATACAGATTTATTGATCTTTCCTTCCCAGTGTGGTATCCCCTTATCTCCAGGGAATACCTTTCAAGATCTCGAAACATAAATGGCATCAAAACCTGTTTTTTTTTTTCCTATGCATAGATGCATGTAATTTCTTTCTCTTTTAACCAAATTGTTAAACACTGTGGCCATAACTTTATAGTTTGAGGCTTAACCTCCAAACTGCCATGAATTTATTTTTCCTGCTTGACAATTTCATGAATAGAAGATTCTTTGGGGGTCTTTTGTAGTCCCTGGCTGGCCTGGAACTCATTGTGTAGATCATTCCAGGCTGTCCTCAACCTCACAGAGATCCACCTGCCTCTGCCTCCCAAATGCTGGGATTAAAGGTGTGTGCCACCGTGCCCAGCCCAGAAGGTTCATTCTTAACAGATTTTAGCAAATTCCTCTTAACATTTTTAAAGAAGCATACAGCTAGGCTTTGGCATATTCAAATTTTTAACTACTTTTGCACTTTGGGGCCATTATTAGGTAATTTAAGGGTTATTTGAATATAAGCTTTGAGTAGCACTGCAGTCCATCTGATAACCAAATCCACTTCTAAGTGACTAATGGGTGAGCCCCATACAAAGGAGAAACAGTGAACCAAGGGAATGACTTTTGTTCCTCTGTCCTTAGGCAGGATAGAGTACAACAGTGTGAGATTTTATCATAGCGTTCAGTTCAAAATGGTGCACAATTTAAGTCTTAAAAATTGTTTATTTCTAGAATTTGAAGTTTAAAACCTTCAGCTCTTAGTTGACAACAGGTATTGAAACTGCAAAAATTGAAATTTGGAGGTAAAGGAGACTGTACCTTTGCTGCCTTACTTCAGCCCTTTTACATTTGTAAATCCTGGGCTGTCACCTAGCTTCTTTGGACTTCACTGAAGATAGCTCACAGACTCCTCCCTTCCCCTGTGGAAACCTGTCATCCAAGACTCACCTCAATCACTTTCCCTACCCTTTCAAACAAAAATACTACTGTCTTTGTTTGAGTATCTGTGGAACTGTACCCCTAGCAGTGTACTTTTATTTCTCCAATAACAAGTGCTTCAGGATGTCACATGGCCCAAATAACCTAATACAGAAGTACCTTCAAACTTTTGACCATGATTCACACTTTAATTCACTATGATTCATGTTTTTTGTTTTGTGCCATTTCTGCTAGTCTAAATTGATTTCACAGCTCATAGAGCTATAAAAAA